CCCACCATCTCAGCACAGTCCCCAGCCTTCCCCACATCCTCACCACGGGGTCCCCAGCCTTCCCCATAATCTCGTCCCCAGCCTTCCCCACAACCTCACCACGGGGTCCCCAGCCTTCCCCACCATCTCACCACGGAGTCCCCAGCCTTCCCCACCATCTCACCACGGAGTCCCCAACCTTCCCCACAACCTCACCACGGGGTCCCCAGCCTTCCCCACAACCTCACCACGGGGTCCCCAGCCTTCCCCACCATCCTACCACGGAGTCCCCAGCCTTCCTCACAACCTCATCAGAGTCTCCAACCTTCCCACCATCTCACCACAAGACTTTTTGTAGTTCACTCTCTTCTAAATTTGAGCATTTTCTTTTGCATCACGTAAGAATGAACTAAGCTATAATTTAAGGCACGTTTAAGCTGTAGTTTAACATTCTCTTATTCTAAAAGAGACCATACGCACCACACAAGTCCTACATAAAGGACCAAAGGCAGGTGTAAAAGAGACGGACAAGGCACCCTGGAGGATCTGCCTACTGTGTCTGTTTTGTCCAGGGTTTCCCACAAGACTGAGCGTGTGCCAGGGTAGACGGAGGCGGCCAGAGCAGGCTTGCTTTCGCTGCTTTGACAGACAACGTCCCTCCTCACAGAGCGGCCACACGAGTTAACTGTGAACAACTTTCAGACTATCTTCAGTGAAACAGTCAAAGCAAGCAACTCAAACCTAGAGAGCGAGCTTTTAGCTCCCGTCGTAACATCAGGTAAAGCCCTGTGGTCTGCAAGCCCCCGGCTGCCAGGTGTGGCTGGGGAAGGCCTGAGAGGTTCACTGCGGCACCCGCACTATGGCCTCGGCGGGGGGCAAGTGGGAAGGTGATGCCTGAGCCTGGCCCCCAGGGAGGAGGAGCAGAGCCTGGAACAGCCTGGGCTGCTTTGCTGTCTAGAGGGAAATCGGGGGTCGGGTCCCCTCCTGAGGCCCCAACCACAGGCAGAGCCCAGGCCCATTCGGAGCCCACCCTAGGAAGGGGCTGGTCAGCCCCGAGGGGCCAGTGGGGGCCTGGACACCTCCTTTCCATCCCCTTCCCTGCTGATGCCTCCAACACACAGAACCCCAGGGAGCCAGGCAGGCCAGGAGGCAGGGGCTGGCCACCCCCAGTGAGGATTCCACAGTGGCAGAGCTCAGGCCTGCACACACCAACAAAGATGGAGGCAGATGCTGGGCTCCAGAGTTCCAGCCGGGACACCGGCCTGGTCAGACGGGGGCCGGAGGACATGCAGCTGAAGCCTGATCCCAGGACCACCTGTCCCTGTCCCCGGGTCACCGCCCAGCGCCCTCACTGTTAGCGTCCCCAGGGCCCTGACGCACAGGTGTGCCCCGCAGCACGGCAGCTGCAGACACAGAGCCATTGCTGGGCTGGGCTCTGCTGGCTGCGGGGACATTCCAGCTGCTGGGACAATCCGTCAGAGAAGATGGCTCCACCACCGTGGCACGGGGACTGGAATCCCAGCCACCCCCACCCACCTAGCTACATCATTTAGAGAAAGGGGAGGGGCCAGGAGCAGGGAGGGGACAGCAGCAGGGCGGGGACAGGAGCAGGGAGGGGAAGAGGAGCAGGGAGGGGAAGAGGAGCAGGGAGGGGAGAGGAGCAGGGAGGGGAAGAGGAGCAGGAGGGGAGAGAGGGAGCAGGGGAGGCGGCGGCTGCAATGGGGAGGGGACGGCAGCAAGGAGGGGCGGCAGCAGGAGGGGCGAGCAGGGAGGGGCAGCAGGGAAAGCGGCGGCAGCAGGAGGACAGGAGCAGGAGGGCAGAGCAAGGGAGGGGAACAGGCATGAAAGGAAGGACCGGAGTGCTGGAAGGGTCATGAACTAGGAGGGGACAGAAAACAGGCTCGCAACTCCACAAATTATTAAACAGGGTCACATCCCACAGGATTCCACCCCCACGCCTACATCCGCGAGACGGAAAACTACAGGCAGCAGGGAGGGGACGGCAGCAGGGAGGGGACGGCAGCAGGGAGGCGACGGCAGCAGGGAGGGGACAGGAGCAGGGAGGGGAGCAGGAGCAGGGAGGGGAACAGAAGCAGGGAGGGGACGGGAGTGGGGAGGGAACGGGAGCAGGGAGGGGACAGAAAACAGGCTCGCAACTCCACAAATTATTAAACAGGGTCACATCCCACTGGGGATTCCACCCCCACGCCTACATCCATGAGAACGGAAAACTACATTCACATAAAAACTCGTTCATGAGTGTCCATCACACGTTAACAGCCTAAACATTAAACAACCAAATGTCCCTCAGCTGAAGAACGGAAGAGCAAATGTGGCAAATCTATGGAAGGAACATTTTTTCAACCACAAAAAGGAAAGAAACACTGACCCCTTCTGCAGCATGGACAAACCCTGAGAACACAAAGTGCAGGGAAAGAAGCCAAGCACAAGGCCACATACCACCAGGCCATGTATCACCAGGCCACGCGTTGCCGGGCACCACTGATGTGACACGTTTGGAAAGGCAAGCCCATGGAGATGGGAAGCAGAGGAGTGGCAGCAGAGGCTGCCACACCTCTACCTACAACCCACACTCATAAATGCAGCTCACACCTAATACACCTCACACCCATACCCATGTCCCACATGAGTACCTACAGCACACACCTGTACCTACCTGCCACACCCATGCCTACAGCCCACACCTGCACCCCATAACCCACACCCCAACCACACCTACACTTCATATCTGTACCTACGTCCCACACCCATACCTACACCGCACACCCATAACTGTAATCCACACCCACACCTACACCCCACGCCCATAACTAAAAAACTATATCTACAAAACTTCGCTCATGAGTGTCCATCACATGCTAACAGCCCAACATTAAATAAACCAAATGTCCTCATTGAAGAACGAAGATGTGGCAAATTCATGGAAGGAAGCATTTTCAACTACAAAAAGGGAAAAAGAACACCGTGAATTCTCCCGCAGCATGGACAAACCCTGAGAACACAAAAGCGTGGCGGCGCGCTTGGCCACGGGTCACATACCACCAGGCCATGTATCACCAGGCCACGCGCCAAGCCGGGCACCACCGATGCGACACGCTTGGAAAAAGCCCATGGAGATGGAAGCAGAGGAGCAAGCAGAGGCCGCACACCTCTACCTACAACCTACACCTGGCAAATGCAGCTCACACCTAATACACCCTTAAGCAATTCTCCATACCCATGTCCCACATGAGCACTAGTAAGCAGCACACACCCGTACCCCACCTGCCAAATTCCATGCCCACAGCCCTCCAAGCACCTGGCACTCCCACAACCCACAATTCCCAACCACACCTACACTCCACATCTGGGTAATCTACGTCCCACACCCATACCTACACCGTGACACCCATAACTGTAATCCACACCCACACCCACACCTACCCACAACTGCAATCCACACCTACACCTACACCCTACGCCACCGTAACTACACTCCAAGACCATAATCTCTCACGGTCTCTAAGCAACTGTAATCCACCACACCTAAGCACCTCCTACGCCACAACTGCAATCCACCCACACCTACACCCCCACGCCCTCCACAACTGTAATCCACCTACACCTACACCCTACCCACAACTGCAATCCATGCCCACACCCACACCCCACGCCCTACAACTGTAATCCACCACACCTACACCCCACGCCCCAATCAAATCCACACCTGCTACCCACACCGCACACCCATAACTGCAATCCACACCTACAACTGTAATCCACACCTACACACCTACACCGTACACCCAGAATCGTAATCCATAACCTACACCACACTGCACCCACAACTGCAATCCACACCACTTACACTGCACAACTACAATCGTAATCCACACCTACAACCAATCTGGCACCATAATTTGGCACTGTACACCTACAACTGTAATCCACACCCATACCTCCACACTGCAAACAACCATAACTGGGGAAACCACACCCTACAACTGCAATCCACCCATACCTACACCGCACACCCACAATCAAATCCAAGCACCCATACCTACACCGCACACCTACAACTGTAATCACACTACAACTGTAATCCACACCCATACTCTACGCCTGTACACTCCATAACTGCAACTACACCTATAACTAACCACCCATACCTACACTGCACACCCATAACTGTAATCCACAATTTGGGCAACTGCAATCCACCCATACCTACACCGGCACGCCTACAACTGTAATCCACACCCATAACTGTAATCCACACCCATACCTACACTGTACGCCCATAACTGTAATCCACACCCATACCTACACCGCACACCCATAACTGTAATCCACACCCATACCTACACCCCACACCTGTGCCTACAACGCACACCCCTACCTACAACCCACACCCGTAACTGCAACCCACACCTGTAACCCTGACCTGTACCTACATCTCACCCCTACCACCACCCCACACCTGCGACAAGCCCTCCTACCTTCACCTGTAACCAGCAACTGAACCTACACCCCACAGGACCCGGCCCTCACACCAAACCTGCAAATACAGGAAAGCCCTAGAGGGGGTGCTGTGGTCCCTGGGCACCCATTCTCAAACACAAAAACACGTCAGCCCCTCTCTTCCAGGCTGTTTCCGAAAAATAACAAATCCAAGAATAACACTCCCTCCAAATCACAGCCTCAGCATCTGTGACGGAGACAAGACCCAAGCGGACATCCCTCCCACTGGAAGGTTCTGCCTCAATGGCCCTGAAGGAGCAGCTCCCAACCCCGTGCTGGGTAGAGTGCCGGCAAGAGGGTCTTGGCTGCCCCTCACATGGCTCACACAAGCTCCTCTGCTCCAACACAAGGTCGAGGGGCCAAGGCCTATAAACCAGCAGCTTCACAGGTCAACATGGGAAATACACAGCCAGTCACACAGGCATTTGATTTTTACCAAATCTGCAGCCATGTGGTACCTCTGGAGCAGTGATGCTTCCATGGCGGCATCCCCAGCCTACCTCATGCCCTCCGTGGACTGGTGGCGGTGGTTGCGGTAAAGCTGCGGCACGCCCAGCATGGCTTCAGTCAGCACGGCCAGGAAGCCCAGGGTCTCCACAAACAGGGTGGAGTCAATGGACAGGTAGGTGATGTAGCCTGCCACGCCCGTGAAGGCCAGGACGCACTGCACATAGTCCGAGAAGCTGTTCCACTGCCAGAAGTGGTGGGGGTTGAAGTCTAGGGCGAGAGGGAGAAGCGGCCTCAGCACAACTTAGGGTCCAGGTGAGGGGTCATCAGTGAGGAGAGACAGGAACCAAGTAAGAGATCAGGGTCAGAGGAGGAGAGAAAGGAACTGAGGGAGAGGTCAAGGTCAGAGGAGAGACGGGAACCAAGCAAGAGATCAGAGTCAGAGGAGGAGAGACGGGAACTTGGGAACCCAGCGAGAGGTCAGGGTCAGGGAGGAGAGACGGGGACCCAGCGAGAGGTCAGGGTCAGAGGAGCCATGTAATCTTGATCACACCCCCCTGAAAGAGCTTTGGTACAAATATTAACTCAATGTAAAAGACACTGACGTCAGGACAGGTGCAGTGGGCACCTATAGTCCCAGCTATTCGGGGGCCGAGGAGGGAGGATCACTTGAGCCCAGGAGTTGAGGCCAGCTTAGGCAACACAGAGACACTTGTCTCTTTAAAAAAAAAAAAAAGCTAAAATTCTTCAAATGAATCTTAATCTCTGAGAAGCGGGACAGTGCAGGGAGTGCCCTGCACTGGAGTCTGATGCCTGGGTTGGGGCGCAGCCCCCCTCGGGTTAACTACGGTCTCCTGTTCCTCAGATGTTACCGGGCAGAGACAGGGACCACCCCTAGGACATTCTGGGGATTCAACGAGTTGACCTTGAGTTCTACAACACGCCTCAGGCAGTGAGGCTCAGTAAATCCGAACTGTATCCCTCCTGCACGGTGTCATTTGCTAGACGATGTATCTGTAGAAAGTATGCTCCTAAGCATGCACAGAAATCAGCAACTTAAAAGAGGCAGGTGGACGTGTGCTGTCCGGGGCACACAGCTGCAGGGAAAAGGTGAATGGAGACAAACTGCCAAGAAGCCTGCAAGGCGCGTGATGTGCCTGTACTTGACCCGTCCTTATAGCACCAGGGCCAGGGCACGGGCTGCACAGGTGGGGTGATGGGAGGTGGTGAAGTCAAGGGAGTTGGGGGTGCTGAGGGGTAAGGTTAGAGGGACTGGGGGGGTTGGAATGTGGTGAGGTTAGGGGGGCTTGGGGACATCAGAGGGCAGAGAGGCCAGCAGTGTCGGGGGCTGGCTGCCTGTGGGGCTGGCAGTGCAGTGAGGCAGGGGTGGCCAGGCTGTGCACCTTCTCCCCGTCCCCCTGGACCCTAGATCTGTGCCGCACTTCCAGCTCCACACTCCCTCCCTCTGAGTGAGACGCTGCTCAGCATCCGAGCTGGAAATGGGCCGCACAGGAGGCAAGGCCAGAGGAAGGATGGGCACGGTATGTGGCACCTCCCAGAACACGGCAGGGTGTGGGCTCACGTGTATTTCATGAAGAAACCCAGCTGCAGTGAGGGGGGCTGAGCAGGATGCCATGGACGGGGGGCCATGGATGGGCGGGTGGTGGATAGGTGGGTGGTAGACGGACAGGCAGGGAGACTGTGAATGGGCAGGCGGTGGACTGGCGGGCTGTGGACGGGTGGGTGGCGGATGGGCAGGCCATGGACAGGCAGGCAGGGGGGCTGTGGACAGGTGGGGTCATGGATGGGCAGGCGGTGGACGGGAGGGCTGTGGACACAGGACACCAGGTGAGGGTTTAAGGGACTTGGGAAAACCACGTCCAAGGTCCATCTGTGGGAGACCTTTCTATTTTAGCTTCCCTAGAAAGGAGTCAATTGGCAAATGACTAACAGAAAATCCTCACTAAACAGTTTCTGAGAAAAGAATGAACCTGGACACTTACCTTATACCATATACGAAATTTAACTCAAAACGGATCAAAAACCTAAAAATAAGACCTGAAACTAAAACTCTCAGAAGAAAACATGAAGAAACACTTCAAGACATTGGATGTGTCAATGAATATTTACCTGTAACACCAAAAGCACAGGCAACAAAAGAAAAATAAAAGATAAACTGGACTTCATCAAAATCTACAACATGGCCAGGTGCAGTGGCTCACACCTGTCATCCCAGCACCTTGGGAGGATGAGGTGGGAGAATCACTTAAGTCCAGGAGGTCTTGAACATAGTGAGATTCCATCTTTACAAAAACATAAAAAATTAGCAGGGCATGGTGGTGCGCACCTGTGATCCCAGCTACTTGGGAGGCTGAAGCAGGAGGATCCCTTGAGCCCAAGAGTTCAAGGCTGTAGTGAGCCATGGCTGTGCCACTGCACTCCAGCCTGGGTGACAAGAGTGGGACCTGGTCTCAAAAAAAAAAAAGGCACTAGCGAGCTTGATCGCACACCCCAAACACCCTCGATTCGTGCATTTACCACTCAAGGGCCGGCGGAGGGGCTCCCGAGGGTGGCAGAGGGACAGCAGGGTGAGAGGCACGAGGCAACGCAGCTGAGATGTGCGGGTTGCAGGTGAGGGCAGATTTCCAAACAGAACGTGGCCTGGTGCACGGTGGAATATTACTCAGCCACAAAAAGGAAGAAAGGGTAGATTCATGCAACACCACGGTGGACCCTGAACAGGACACCAAGTGACAGAGCCAGACGCAGGAACCACACGCTAACGAGTCTGTTCCTATGAAGTGTCCGGCACAGGCGAGTGCACAGACAGCAGATGAGCAGCTGTTGGGGCTGGGGGAAGATGGAACTCGGGAAAAAGAAGGAAACTGGTTCAAAGGGGTTTCTTTGGGCGTGATGAAAGGCTCCCTAATGAGACAGTGGCGATGGCTGCACAACTCTGTAAATACACTAAAAACCACCAAATTGTGTACTTTTAAATGGTGATAAAATGGTGAATTTTATGTTATGTAAATTATATCTCTAATTTCAACAACAAAATAAAAAATTTTAACGTATATGATTTGTCTTATACCGAAAGATGCAGGTATAAGTATCTACTTATTTTATTAATAAGTATCTACTTATTAGTAAATACTTATTCAGCATTTTCTGATGCTGAAGTTGAAAATAGTTCCTTCAACTCCAAGTTTGGGAATTAAGGTGCTGTCATTTGTATCCAGGACAATTTGAAATAAATTTAGCAGCCGTCTACCATTAGCTGTCAGCTCACATGAGCTGGGGAATCGGAGCAGGTGGCGGGGAGGAGCTGGGTAAAAAAAACGTTGGCTGAAGCTGACCTGGGGTGGCTCAGACAGTGGGAAATGAGATCTCTAAGTTCAGTCTGGAGAAGTCGGAGGACACGGGAGACACCTCGTGGACACGGAGACTCCTGATCTGTCAGGTGGAAAAGAACATTTTCCACACTTCTGAGAGATTCCTGTGTCAGGAGAGTTTCGTTAATAGTTTTTTAAATCAGCGAATAAAGAAGAGAGAGGCGCCCGGCAGTCCTCCCGGAAGAGCTGGCCCTATCCCGAGGGACCCGGGAGGGGAGGGCACTCCCCTTTCCAAAGCAGCCAGGCCCCTGCACTGCTGAGTCCGACAGAAATCCAAGAGGGCAGGTGGCTGTGGGAGAGGAGGGGCTCTGAGAACAAGAACAAAAGGGCAAGAACGCAATTAGGACGCACACCCATGGCCACCCACGCAAGGTGCTGAGAGAACTGACAGTGGGCAGTGCAGACTCACACACTGTGACTTCCTGAGATGTGTTTCTAGATAGCGGTACCAAAGATAAGGCTTGAAAACGACGCATTTAATGCTGAACAAATGTTTCCAGGCCTGGGGGGCTCACCAGAGGCCCGCCCTGGCATGCACTGAGCTCTTGGGACCCTCAGCTGCCTGCAGGGAACAGCTGATCCTCAGAACCTTCCACCGCATGGGCGCGGCTGCCCTCGACTCACAGACAGATCTCTTCCGGCCCCACCACCATGGGGAGCCCCGTGGGAACAGACTAGCTCTCAGTCTCCATCAGTCCAACTGCTCCTGGATTAAAAAGCTATTTTACCACTTGGGGAATGTGCACCAGGAGACTGTATCCTAACGGGCAAGAAAGATCCGATTTCTCGTCAGATCGTGTTTTCATGTCCACAGGAGCACATGAGAGAGCCTGGTGTAAGAGGATCTGACAGCCAACGGGTCCAAGGCATTGAAGCAAGAGCAACTCCATTGTGAACAGGGGCTGGGTAAGATGAGGCTGAGGCCCACTGGGCTGCGTTCCCAGACGCTCAGGCATTCTTAATCACAGGATGAGACAGGAGGTCAGCACAAGATACAGGTCATAAAGACCCTGCTGATAAAGCAGCTGGCAGTAAAGAAGCCGGCTGAAACCCACCAAAACCAAGATGGCCATGAGAGTGACCTCTGGTCGTCCTCACTGCTGCACTCCCACCAGCGCCATGACAGTTTACAGATGCTGTGGCAACATCAGGAAGCTACCCTATATGGTCTAAAAAGGGGAGCATGAATATTCCACCCCTTGTTTAGCATACCATCAAGAAATCACTATAAAAATGGGCGACCAGCAGCCTTTGGGGTGCTCTGCCTACGAAGGAGCCATTCTTTATTCCTTTACCTCCCTAATAAACCTGCTTTCACTTTATGGACTCGCCTCAAATTCTTTCTTGCACGAGACCCAAGAGTCCTCTCCTGGGGTCTGGGTGGGGAGCCCTTTCCAGTGACAAACATGAGACAGAAAGAGAATGCTAGAGAGCTTCCTGTTGGGACTGGGACGGCTGGAGGGCATCACAGCACTGGTTCCGAACACTGAATGGAGAACTGCCATGCGGCATGAACCTGGGCGCGTCAGACCCCTGCAGGCACCCTCGGGACTCACAGATCACACACTCAGTGGGTGCTCACAGGACGTGAATGGCGTCTCAGTAACGCTGAGCTCCACCCCAGAGCCACAGTGTGACTTTCACAGGGCCACGGAGCCTCCTGGGCCACACTGCTCAGGGACATTCTGGAGGGGAGAAAATTGCTTTTTTTTTTTTTTTCCAGGGTTCTTGCATGAATTCTAATTGAGACATTACATTCAGAATTACAGCACTCACAGTGAGAGTTTTCAGAAGACTGTAACAGCTTCTTTGCTACTTAAGGAGTACAGATGGTGCGGCTGCTTACCTGAATGACTTCTTAAATAAGTGGCTACTACC